TCCCTTGTTGTTTTCGAGTATTTGCTTTAGAGCGAGAGCAGAGCGCACTACGAATAATTATAAATTAAATAATTATACAACACAAGCAAGAAAGCAGCTTTGCAACTGATTGCGGCTGCCGCCGCTGTTGTTTTTTCCCCCCACCTGCACTTGCCGATGCTTTTGCTGCTCGTGCAGTGGAACACCTGTAAAACAAAGGCAGCTCTATCTGCCACAAAAGCTGCAACTATAGCAACCCAATCTAAGCCAATGTCGATGTCGTGCTCCAGAGCGGATGCAGCTTTAGATATAGCCTACAGAGCTCCAAAGCTCTGTCCACATAGCAAATACTACACACTGATTGCTCTCAAAACTCGACTTTTGAATACAATTTAAATTTATAGCGACAGTAACCAAAAAAGAGAACTCTATGTCAATACCCTCGACTACTAGATACCCATTACTTGTTCCCGGGATCACAGCGTTCATACGGACGGGTAGACATTGCCTGATCGACTCGGATGGTAATCCTGATTAAGAGTATAGATATATACTTTGGATAGAACGGTCCGTTCTATCTGCTACATATTTTGCAACGAATTTAGTATACTCTCTGTGCGAGTAACATGAAAACGTTTTTGATATTCTTTATTAGGATTTATTGATCTACGAGACAAAAAACAAACTAACTTGATTATATGAAACCTTTACGGTCTATTGAAACGAAACAATAATATAACAATTAAACTTGTGCCAAAAAATAATACTAATAAAAAAATATTCAAGATTGCGTTTCATATGTTCGTATGGAAAATTCAATTACAATGGCTTAAGCTATAAAATGAGCTTACAAAAATATTGATAATAAATATCAATAAAATACTGTAGTTATAGCCACTGCCGTGGCTAATTATAACTCTGATTAGTTTGTGACCTTTAAAATAGTTCATACAGAATACAGAAATCCAAGCCTTTGCTACCCAGTTTTTTGAATACAAATTACGCCTTATCTGCCAATTAACCAACAACCACTGTAATTTAAAGTGAACCAGACAGCCAACACAATTTTCGTAAAAACTTTAAAACAGCGAAAAACTTGTTCAACAAAATTGCAATTACAAACAAAAGTTTCTAAGAAACGAACGAAACACACAAAAAACAAAAAGGAAAAACAAAAGGGAAAACAAGTTGGAACTGTTCTAGTCACAGCAAAACACATCAGCAGAAACAACTAGAAAAGCCACAACCACTAATAGTTGCTAAATAACACAATATTCAGCTTTTAGCATTAGGTTGTTCTTTTTGTGAGCTTGTGATTTGTATTTCGTTGTGTTTTCTGTATTTTGTGAGTGGGCCCCGGCAGCAGCAGCATTCTAAGCGATTGTGATTGAGAACTCCCCTGAAGCGTTATGAACGCTACCCGTACACATATTGGCAGTAGGCGACTTGTTTTGGCCAATAATTCCATGACTTGTTCCAAGGCTGGGCCCCAGTCGTGAGATTAAGCGAAATTCGTTTGTTTGAACAGCTTTTTACTCGATTCACTCGGTTCGTTCGGTTCTTATGGATGGTATATGGTACGTACGTACGTATGTATGTACATATGTATATTCCATATGACGAAACACAAAAACCAGAGACAGTGGCAAGTGTTGTCACAATTGTAACAGAGATGTCTCGGTATCGTTTTCAAGCTCTTGAGACTCTCGAAAAAGGTTCTTGAACTTTACGACGAAATATATTTAAAAAACAAAAACAAAAATCCACTCTGAAGAAAGTGTGGGGGTTATAGCCCGACATTTCCATACATACATATTTATAACCATATAGAGATCTTGATCTTGGGACAACAGCGATCTTATACGTATGCCTGTGCGGGTGTATTTCCCTTTCTATTCATTGTTTTCATTGCGAATTCTCACGCACTTCGCACATAAACCTCATATGATTTATGATCACGCGGCCTTTGGCTTTGTGTGCAAAGTGGATCAGGTCACTAGATTCCTAGCCAGCTAATCAGCTAATCAGATCGTGGGTGATCTGAAATAGTAAAACTAAACTTGGGCCCACTGCCAGGTGCACTTTCCCAAGGCACGTTTCGGGGCCTTCAGTGTGTCTAGATCAATGTGGATATGTCGGAATATATCGGAGTATGGGCCACTGTCTGCGCTTGGTGCCAAATCGATGTTGTTATGCCCGCTGTCTGCGTGTCTGACATATTCAATTTGAATATTGTTTATTCACCAGTCCCACTTCCACTTTACTCTCTCTGGCCTGCTGTTTCGCTTTTTTCCTCATTTTTCAGCCTTCTTTTCTAGTCTGCAGTTGACAACTGGCGACTTTTACTTGCGATCGACGATCAACGATCAGCAATCGACGTTGACCCAAAAAGCAGAACAGCCGCAAAGTTGATTGAATGCGATTGCAGACTGTAAACTGCGACTATCTCGCTGGGGCTTTAATAAACAAATACAGTTCTGTTTTCGCAAGTGTCATTCGCCACCCTGGGTTCATCTCAAAAAGTGCGGTATGATGGTTCGATATAATACTTCTAAAAGTGGGGCATAAAATGTTGTTCGAGACAAAATACATGAATTTCTGTCAGCTGTCTGTCAGTTCTTTAGATATTGATGCATCTAGCGTAGCGTGGTTATTTAATGATTGAGTTTAACGAAATGCTAAAATGGAGTAGCTGCTGACTCAGTTGGAATTTGAAATTGCTTCCAATTAAAATGTTTTGACATCTGACTGAAATCCACGGCAGTCCATATATGTCAACTTAATTAATTCCATAACTATCCTTATTTGACGTGTGATTCATGTACAAAAGGTGAATCAATGCAGTTGAATGAAGCTAAATGCAAAGACACGAAATACGAGAATGGTGTAGAGCTTATACAACGATTCTTAGGTAACTTTAGGCTATCTGGGGTATACGACAGTCTGGCAGTTTCCCGAGAAACTTATTGTTCTAAGTGATCTGTGAATTCTCTGGCGCTCTCTCACTCTCTATATGTATATTGTCGTATATTGTCATACTGGCTTTCTAACCCCGACAATTGCCAGTCATAAAGCGTGTTCTATGAATTGTTTTTATGACAAGCGCGCTTTTTGAAGGGCACTCGCAATCGTTGACGTTTCGAAACGCTCGCTCTTTACGGGGCGTATACGCAATACCTGAACGAATGTGGTTTTGGCTAACGGAAGTGTCACGGTGAACAAATTGCAATTATTATCAAACAAAATGCTTTATCTTAGGCTAAAACGCTGACTTTGAATTGTGACCGAAAAAGAAGTAATAAACAAAAAGAATGTAGCCGCGCGACGCGACACTTGGAATTCCAAAACTAAACCAAAGATAAAATGGCAAAGAATGATGCGCAGACGCTCGTAAATAAATTAATAAACCCAATCAACAAAGCATCGAAACGACAAGAAAACAAATCAATTTGCAAATGAATAACCGAAAGTAACCCAACCAACCAACCAACCAAAAAGCAAACACAAAGGGGAAATTCCGATAATAATAATAAAAAATACAATTGCATGTCGACGGCGAAGGCGAAAGTAAGAGCCGCTGCCCCCTTTCACCCCCCGAATCGCATGAAGAACACCACAAGCCACAATGTCCAGGTGTGACAACCACAAATCCCGCCGCCAACAGCTGCCCGTTCCGGCGCCCCTGTCCTCCTCCCACTCCCATACCAACTCATCCTCGCCCCTCTCCCAAGGACACCACCACCACCACATGCATTCGAGCAACTCGGATCTGGGCGGCAGTGAGTCCTTCCTGCAGTATTGCAGCGACAGCGAAAAGAGGCCACCACCGATTGTGGTGGTTGTGGGCGATGGCAGGAGCCGGGTGCGGCGCGTGGTGCGCACCGCAACGCGGCACGTCACCGTGGTCAGTCTGTCCACCCGGCACAAGGAGACCCAGACGCACACCTCGCACCATGTGACGGCTGTCAGGTAAGCTTAGTGCGATCCCAGAAACCGCATCTGAATGCGGATTTCGATCCAGCTGTGCCGACACCTTAAAAAGAGTCTACGAAAACTAGTATATTTTCGATTTCTGGATAATAAATAATGGCCAAATTTTGCCAGCAACCTTGATGCGTTCATTAAAAATGTGTAAAGCAAATTAAAAATGTTAATGCATGATCAAAGATATGTAAAAGGGTTTATTACTATCACCATTTGAATATGTTAATGTGATGAAGTGGGACTTGCAAAAAATATAATATGTATTTCGTATAAAAGGTATATCTACTTGAAGTAAACCCAATGTTCACAATTTCAAATATTGACAGATGCAAGTGAGCATTTGGAAGTATATTTATATAATAGCAATCTAAAATATCTTTTAATACACTTACTCAACTTTGTTTTCAGCTTTTCAAAAAATGGCTTTTGTTCAACGAATTATAGGTATTTACCGATTTCGGTTCCTGCAAAATACTTTTATTTGTTCAAGGTGGTGTGCTTATCACACCCATTTGGTATTATCCCTTATCTTTATGGGGCCTCCACATTGTTCTTGGGTCTGCTGCTGTTCTATGGCCTGAGTATTCTTGGCCTAGTCAGCGAGTATCGGTCGAGATAAACCCGCTCAATTATTTATTAATACGCGCGGTATCGGAGTGTACTGTAAATATTTATTACTGGATGTTCAAGTCTTTGATTTTATTGAATTCCTTGAAGGAATGTAATTCGATTTAATACTATGGCGGGGCTATTGGTGCCAGTAGAGCGTGATTATACAAACAAAATGTTCTGAGAACTTAACTTTTTCAAATCCCTAAACAGTAAACATGTTGGGTTTGAAACTTGTCTAATATGCGCCGTGAATTCATGTGGAAGCTAAGATAGGCTAACTTACAGTTTGACAAGGAGAAAATGTTGCATACACATAGGCTTAACATATAATGTTAATGTTAACACGCGATCCACATGTAAAATGGCTAAAAATGACAGAAATAGTAAAAAAATATTATAAAGAGGCTATTAGAAAAAGACTACCAAAATCATTTTATCTGTAATTTTCCAGTCAAGTTTTGGTTATTTTTGTCTAAATTTTGTATAAGTTTTGGCCGTCACCTGGCATTATTGACATTATTGGCATTAAAAAAGAATGGCCATGGAACTATTGCTGCGGCAAAACCTTCCAAAGGTTGAACAGCTTACGAGCTTCGATCTGAAATACTTCTTTATAATCTACGCCATCGTCGTCCTGATGATCCTGGGTGTTCCGCTGGCTTTCCTACTTCAAAACAAGGGCTCGGCAAGCGAGAGGGATCGGTTTCAATTGGAAGCCAATCGATCGCGCCAGGATCCACCGAGGGCACAAGCCCGGCGGCGAATTCTGGATTCGAGTGCCTAATAAGCTTTTAATATTGATGTTGGTATTCATGGAAATACATTGAATGCGGCGCAGCAGCGGTCTGTTTGTAGTTTTCCTAATCGCAGAACCCCCAACCACAAAGTGTCTGGCCCGCTTGTGGCACACTCCATAAACGTTAAGCTCCTATCGAAATGCACATAAACGAACCCGAGAAATCTAATGTAAAATCAATAATAATTACGCCGAGTAGGCCATCGGCGGTTGGGTCACGTCAACCGATTTGGACACTTGTTGCATACGAAAGCAGGAGGAAGTCCGGTGCACATTTGGCTCGCGAGCGTCAGCTGAGATACAGATACGAGCCAAGATACGCGAGATACTCCGATATACAGACAGATACACAGATACTTGTTGGGATGGTCAAACAGACGGGCAGTCTTGAAAATTTAGCTCCACCATGTGCAACGTGCAACGGCAAACAATTAGGGCGACGTGTGGCAGATGTTTTTCCTTCTCGAAAGCAGGACTCTTAAAAAATCAGAGGGTTGGGGGAGGGGGAAGTGGCTACAATAACAAGCAAGTTCGGCAGGCAAAACTACCTGCCGTTGTTGTCCTTTCAGGAATTGAAAAAAAAGATGTATACGTACATCCCAGAGAAACCCATGCAAAGCCACGCCAGGTGCAGCTGGAAAACTGGCGAAAAGAGTGTGGAAGAGATAGGCAGCAACAAGGATGCCCCTTTCAATTTTGTGTTTTCGTTATCCTTCGGCTTTCCTGCTGATCCTGTTTTTGTCCGACTCTCGACTATAGGTGCAAATATGCAGCTGCCCTCGAGTTTTTCAATCGATCTTCTGGGATGGTCCCGCTGCGAGAAGATTTCTGGTAGTCATTCGTATTGCATACGTAGATAATGAATTAGCTGGGATTTTCGGGCAAATCGAATTCAATTTCCAAGCTAGGGGAAAATCAATATAGTGTTAAGGTGCATAGATTAAAGGAAGAATAATGTTCTGCGGCATCATGTTGTGGAAATAATGTAAAGTATTTTGAAATGATTTTGTGGCTTAACGAATCTGTTTCAGTATCTAAAACAAGATTCACATCGAATATATGTATATGGTACTCATATTCGCGAAGCATATATTCTGAAATAAGGACCTTAGTTCATATACCTCATATACCTTTTAGTGGTTTGTACTGATTGATTTTCTGCAATCCATAACTTACAAATGGTGCATCCTTCAGATATCACTGCCAAACGTCTCCCTTACAGTTTCCCCAATTGTTGCTTCAATCCAATAGCATAGAGGATCCCTGGCCGATCAATAAGTTTGTCATCGTGAGCTAATCGCTTCCTTCACTTTCCTTCCAGCATATGGCGGGATCTCTCTCTTCTACCTGTTCGCTGTCTCTTTTCGATAATGGATCCTTTTACGCTTAGGATTTCTATTCTTTGAGTTAGGGGTAGTACAATTGTTCTTTTTGGGTAACCCGACGAGGGCAACACAAAACAGATGCATTTTGTGTGGGATCGGCGTATACATACGTGGGTAGGATGATCACGCACACGCACACACATTTAATGAGCCATGCGAAACACGTTTCTGGAGGAAGCGAGATGGGTAGCGGCGAGTGCGAGACGGATATACAAGAAGTATAGCTGCCGACGCGCTTGCGCAGCTAACTTCTTCCTCTACTTTGGTGGATCGTCGATCACCTTGTCGAGCGGTCTTCGAATGCTCGGTTTAGTTCAAACGCGAGCATCGCCGGGATCGGACGTTACCCTGGCCCAATATAGAGCTATCTTCCGCCGGGAATTAGTTTTTTGTGTGCTTCCTCTGTCGTCTGGCCAAACGACCGAAATTCAATTTGAATATCATTGTAAAGCGATCGCGGGACGCGTATTAATTAACGATATAGCGGCGATCTTGTGATTCTCCCAGTCCATAACTGTGTCACAATGTGTCTGTAGACCATAGAGACCACACCACCGCCCAGTGCATAAATCTTGAACTTTTGTGATATTTTCTTCACCATGATCATTTGCATATCGGGTTTTATAATTGGCGAAAGGTAGGAACCCATTGCCTGACCCAGAAAACGAAAGTTCTCTTATCGTCTACTTAGATAAACAAAACTAAGGCTTGGTTTGTTTATCTCAACTGGAAATTCGTTAGGGAATCCCATGTTCATATGAAATTGAAGTACCTACTGTAGATTTCCCTAGATTTCAAAAATGTTCTATTTAAACTTTTTATTTATATTAAAAGATATGTTTCATTCCGTTTGTACCTTCTTTATATTCACATATTTAGGACACAGTTTTACCAAATCTAAATTAAATTATAGCGTCACGTCTAAATTAAACATCGATTACTCTTGACTAAAAAGCCACTTTAGCACTGCAAGTGTTTGCTTATCAATTTTGATAGCAAAGTCTTGATAAAGCTATTATTTATATATAGGCTTTTTAAAACGTATATTAGTTTCCTGCGACACTCCAGCGAAAGCAGTGTTCTAATCAGACCCCTCCTCTTATCCCCTTGCAGCTTTCCCCAGAAGAGCCTGGAGCGAAGTGGTTCCACCCAGTATGAGCTGGCTGGAGCGCAACAGCCAGGATCAGCCAATGCCTCCACCTGCACAGACAGCGGCAGTGTCGGCGGCTATGTTTACCTGCAGAACCACTACGCCCCCGGCGCCCACAGCTCCTCAGCCGCCATCAACTATCCTGCGCAACAGCATCCCCAGATGGTCTACCAAATCCAGCAGTATCCCACGTGCCATCAGCAGCAGCAGCAGCAGCACCTCCAGCAGCAGCAGCACTTGCATCAGACCGGCGCAGGTCACTACATGCAGGTCACGGCGACGGGTGGTGGCCAGTATCACCACCATCACATGCTCCACGGCCACGGGCATCACGCCCACCACCACGGTGGGGCGGTGGTCATAGCCGGCAGTGGTGTGGGAACTGGCCTGGGATCCGGAGCCACCAGCGTGATCATGCAGCACCAGCAGCAGCAGCAGCAGCAACAGAATATGCACAAGAAGAACTCCATCCGGAACGGCGGAGATGTCCTCAAGCGGACGCGAGCTCAGTCGGCGTAAGTATTTTCTCCAGGGGATGTGGCCAGTTTGGTGTGGATTCAGCTGGGAATTGTGTGCAGTCAGAAAGCAAATATTTCCAGGGGCCAAAGGAAGATTTCCGGGAATTTATTTCTTATCTGAATAATTTGGGTATAATTTGGGTGGATTATTCAGGAGGCTTTTTGAATGCTATTTTATCAAAATGTGTACTAGGTAAATGTCGCTGCGTAGAAAAAAATAATGATGAGCAGACGGTTCTAAATAATATAGCATGTCTTCAGAACTATCAGTGAATAGATTGGCCAAAGCTATTTTTATTTTTAGACTCGTATTTATTGTTCTAGAAGTGACTAAGTTAAATAACGCAACTCGAATAAATTAAATTTATTTAATCGGAGATGTACACTTATCAGTTTTCAGAGATATGAGCAGAAAATCAGCAATAAACTATTCATACCATGAGCTTATTCGCAATTCTTATCAGCTAAAAAATATTTGTCACGATTAAATATTCATTATCTTCAGAATGTGTTCTGTATACAAACAAAAAACGAACCGCAATGCTTAATTTTGAGTTCAGCGTTTAAATTTTCTTAATTTGAACTTGGGAATAAAAAGACAGTTTTTTGTTACGCCATTAATTGCATGATTAAACCACTTCGCCATTTTTGTGTAAACAATCCATCAAGCTGAGGGTTAGCAACAGAAGCTTGTCTGCCTATCTAATTAGTTATCTGTAAAAGCAAAAGTGTGCCTCGTCAGCTGAATGAGTCTGAACTTTGGCCGCTCGTGGAGGACTTGAAAAGTCATCATTGGACATACAGAGGTGGTATCTTAGATCAGGCGGCGTCCATGCAAATATTGGTTTATTTAATAGGCAGTGCATTTTCTGACGTGGGCAGCTGCATGATGGCCTATTTCAAGTTCTTGTTGCTCGATAGTTTGCTATTCGGGGAAGGTCCCAGAATATGTTTTCAAAGCTATCTTTATAGCGCTATGATGAGTAATTTGGACTGTCTGCGGATGGAGTATCGATCCAAAGTAACGATTGCTTGGGGCACGAGGCACACAGCAATAAGCAATATTATTGCCTCTCGAGAGGCGAATTTTAATCAGGTCGATAGCCCAGAGGGGTGACAGTGACGACGCCAGAGAGAATTGTATTTAAAAGATACTCGTGCGCTATCTTATCGGGCGGGGCAACAAAACATTCGGTCTCGGCGCAGACTTTTGTCAGTTATTTGCAAAATTTCCAGCCAACCAAGCACACATCGCACCTCCCATTCCAACACACCGGATGCCTCCAAATACTTATCGGCTATATCTTTTCTGATCTCCCCAATAGCTACGAGCTCTCACAAGATCTGCTCGAGAAACAGATCGAGCTGCTGGAGCGCAAGTACGGCGGAGTGCGAGCCCGCAACGCAGCGGTCACTATTCAGCGCGCCTTCCGTCACTACATGATGGTCAAGAAGTTCGCCTCGATCACGGCGATGGCCAAGGCCGAGAAACGTCTAAGCCGACGGATGGTGGTCACGGCCAGTAGCCTGGGACTGGCGGAGGAGGGTGCCTCCTCCTCGTCAGCCTACGGAAGTGCCACGGAATCTCAGCTCACCGAGCAGCAGCAGCAGCAGCAGCAACAAGCGCAGCAGCAACAGCAGCCACGTGTCACCATCATGGCGGGTCCGGCGGGAGCAGCTTCTCCGGGCTTGTCCCGGACGCCACCAACGCGTTCGCTTTCCATGCGGGAGCGACGTCAGCTGGACTGCAGTCCCATACCGCGTAGTCAGTCAGGTGAGTAAAGATAAGGAACGCCTGCCACCTGGATGGCAAATAGTGTGACGAAAATTGCATCAGTTGGGACTTTTTTTTTGCAAGTTAAGACTAGGAGTTCTACTTCATCAAAGATTATATAGGTGCAAAGACCTAGGGTGTCACCGGTTTCGTATTATATTTTTCATTTTAATCCTTAAGATATCAAAAAGATATATTACTGAAATCCAACAGCAGC